GAGCGAGCTGAGCCCAATGCAAGCGGCGGGTGCCCGAGCCGAGTGGGTGCCAGGATGCCAAGCTGAGCGCCTGGAGCCGGCCCCATGACCCTGAGTACGTTGACCCGCGAGAGGAAAGCGCCCCCCGCCTGCACCTGCAGCCTCAGTGGCCCCGACATGATCCCCTACTTCTCCGCCAACGCGGTGATCTCGCAAAACGCCATCAACCAGCTGTAAGTGCGCCGCGCGCCCTCCCGCCTGCGCGAACGCCCTGAAAGTTTACTTTGCTGCGGCCGCTTTCCCCAGCATCCTGGGGCAAGCAAGCCCGCAAGACGGAGGAATCAGCCTATTGCTGGGAAGTCGGGGGGTTAGGTGGGGGAGGGGGGACGGAGGTAGAGGTGGAGGGAATTCGTGGGAGTAGAAAGTGTCGGGGAGTGGGAGTGGAGCAGGTTGGACAGACGATTCTTTTGAGAAATTTTCTGCTAAACTTTGGGAGGACTCTGGCAGTGGAGTCGTCCAAGGAAGTTGACTGAGTGACAGCCCGAGTCCTTTGGCCCGCCAAAGACTGGGGGGGTGGGGTGGGCTTTAAAGCGGTCCTAGTGGAGTCAGAACCGTTGGCCGGAAACGCAAGCGACCAAACTCGAATTTTTTTGTTTTTTAAAATAAGTTTGCACGTGACTGTAAGTTTCTTTTGCAAACCATTCACACAAAGACAGTACATTCCTCACCGAAAACTAGGCTAAAAGTAATTGGGTTTTTCTGTTTGTCTCCCCCTGTAGGACTAGGTGATCACAACCCAAGCTCGCATGCTTCATTCACTAAAAGCAAGCACTGGAGGGCATTTTTAAATGATTGTTTTTGCCCTTCCCCTTTCATTGTGGTCTATCTGTTCCTGAGAATTGTGTGCCCTGGAGTGTGTGGTTAAGCTCACATCACAGTTAACGAGAACTCCATCTATTGAAACTGCATCCGTTGTGGAGTGGTTAGTGTTTCTTTACAAAGCAGCAGATTGGTTGGCTTAGTGTACTAGCACTGAGTCCAGAGTGACTTTAGGGTGACCTGCTGAGATTTTTCTAGACTCTAGACTCTTCAGCAACTCTACTGCCTCCCTCCCATGACCACACTGGAAAGCTTTTAAGTATCCAACAACAGACAACTTTCCCTTATCCCTTGTTAAAGGCCCGAGAATTCTTCATTTATTATTTTAACCGTTTACTCTTCTACCTGGTCAAATTTAACTTCAAGTCGTTTGAACTTCACTTTTCCCCCCCTTATGTGCACTCATCGTGGAGTTGCTAAATAAACAGGAAAAGGCAAAGGGGGAAGAAGAATGGATGGCTGTACTGCCATGTGCAGCACATTCTAGACACAATTGAATAAACTGCCTTATTTACATTACATTTTCCTTTAAGGGTGCTGGGGACTAAAAAGCAGAAGTCGTGAAAGAAAAGGAATAAGTGAATATCTCCAAACTAGATAACCAGTCTCAAAATAATACTGTTAACAATACTTGAACAATAAAAAGGTAGTGCTTCCAGGCTTTTTAGGGGACGGGATTTTGAACCCTGTAGATTTCTTTTCCTCTTAATTAATGTGTAGATTGCTTTTCCTCTTTATGTCTTTGAGTAAATCATTTGACATCAGGTTTTACCCATTTTAAAAATGGGTATACTTTTATAGGATATCATATACTAACGCTTTGCAAATGATAAAGCCTGGCGCACGCGCGCACACAAACTGAGCAGTAATTTCTAGCTGCCACTTGCTAACTACTTATCAATGTGCTAATTGTTTAATGTCTATTGCCATTTAATCATCACAGAGCCCAATGAACCAAGCTATTCTAGGCTAGAGAGCTTGTAAGTGACAGAACAGTTCTAACTACTGTGAAAATGATATTCTGCCTTAGTATTTACAAGGTCACTTTTGAGACTTGGCAGTCTTATGAAATGATCGTGAACTGCTGACCCCTTCAGTTTAGTAGTGAAAAATGCACTTGATATCGTAAGAGTTTTGCTGTGAAGATAGACCAACTCTTTTAAGAATTTTTAAGAGTTATGTTTTTCTTTTGCCACTCTTATACCTCCCCCACCCCCACAAGAGACTTGCTAATATTCCTTTTTTTCTATTAATATTGCTTTAAAGGTCATGTTTATTTCACATCCATATTGTTACCAAGTTCATTATCATTAAAAAATCTTAAGGGATTACTCTGAATGAAATACTAAATTTTATGAGCTTAAACACGTACATTATCAGTATCTAAAGAAAAAGTGCTTTATTTTGATCATCTAGAGTTAAATGGATGGCTCCCCAAAACTTTGAGATCGTAAGAAAATATTGACTAAATAAATGTTTGGGTTTTTTTTAATCAGACCGTTAAAGTAATCTACGGCCTTCAAAATAATAATAAAAATAAAAGCCTTTTTCCTAAAAGGAAGCATTGTTTCTAAGACCTAGTATTCTAAACTTTCAATTCTGTGTACATTTCCCTGTAGTAACAGGTATGGAAATGGCGGTGATTGGTGGGAGCAACTTAAAGATTCAGATTTAGGTTGGTAAGTGATAGGTTTAATTGTTCCAGAGTGCTAGATTTCCCAGTTAGTTGAGGGATTTCTATGCTCTTTAACTATTTTAGATGGCAGTATTTATCAAGTTCACGGTACTTGATAGAGTGTTAAAAACACCAAATATAGGAACTCCATGGAATGGCCTTATTTTTCCAGGTCTCTCAGGTTCTCCTCTTTTGGCAGGGTGTAGTTATACTACTTTTCTATTGTTCTTTAATAGTGGGAAATATTTGCGTTTACCAGCTTGGGGGTGAATATTTTACCTTACAGTAATCTCCCTACAATGAGGTTGAAATACGAGGTGCTAAATACCTCACACCTTGAAAAAAAATAAGCGAGAAAGAACTAACTACAGTCATTCTAGTTCTGACATTGCTCAGTCCCTGATTCTGGTGCTTGTAGAGTTCTTGTCAGCTTTTTTTCTAGTTTTGTCAAATCATTAGTTCTCTTGTCACTTATGAGGACCATCCATAAGAGCACCTGCTCCTTTTACAGTTGCTGCCTCAGATTTGTTGTGGCTTTAGAAGACAAGTAAAAAACCCTCTAACCATTGTGTCAATGCGTAAATAGGCCCAAACGAAAAACTGAGGGAGTTTCTGATGGGGAAAGTACTGACCTTTAGTGTATGGCCATTGAGTACATATTTTGATGATTTGACTGGCCTATTATTTCTTGACTTTAAACTGATACATATAGGTGAAATTATAAAATAAATAGAAGCTACTATATTGAGAATTATATCATTGGATTAAGATTTCTGCTTGCCATCATATAAAATTTACCAAATATATGGTGCTCTTTTTGACAAATCAGTAATAAGAATGATCAAATCCATTACCAAAATCAAAGAATGGTTATTGCTGTAGTGTTAATCCTAATAGAAAAATTAAGATCATGTGAGCAACCCAGAGAATCAAATTAAGGAGAATTGGATCAGAGTGATCAAATGATTGTGAAACATTCCAAACCCTTCAGAATCTGTGCATGCTTCTTATTAAAACCAACATCTGAGCTTCTAATAAATGTGGAAGCCTGTTATTTGTATAGAGCAAACATTTCAGTCTCTGAAAGGCAGTCACCAACCAAAGTGCCTACTGCTTTTGTGAAAGGCCAACAAACGGCTTGTTGAGAAATCAGTGCCCTTTTTTGTGTTGTAAACAGTTCAAGGAGGAATCAAGAAAAAATGCTGGCAGAGGTTGCCAGTGGAACAGTTCCCCTTATGAAGACCACGCTTAAGTTTTTTGTTTCTAACCCTTGACCTGACTTAACAGACGCAAGTTGGTTTCATATGCAAGTTTGGCTTCCTAGCGGCACATTAATACTCAATAATTACCCAAAATGTACGTGTTCACAACATTGAGAGGATGAAACAGCCTTATTTTGGGTACTACTAGTGGGAGAGTGCTTTTTCAGTGCTGCTTGATTGTTGCCTGAGGGAGTGCAGATGAGGTGCTCATCTACACATCGGGACTCAAACTTAATCTTGTGCCGGAGAAACCTTGAAACACAGATTGCTGCTCTCATACCTTTGCATCATTGATATGCTTGAAATGTACATTTCTAGATGATGTGGTCCAAAGACCACACTTTCAGAACCACTACCTTAGAGTTTCCTCAGAATTAGATTGGGCAAATCAGCACCCCCATTTTATATAGTAGTTAATCAAGGAACTCAAAATGGTGAAGTTATCTACACAGAGAGCTACATGGTTTGCTATTGGCAGAACTGAAACTAAAAACAGCATTTCCTGTCTCCAAATCCAGGCCGTTTACAGTGTTAGGGGGAACATCCTGTTACATATGTCTTTGTATACACTTGTGAATGTTTCTTTAGATAACATCCCTAGCAGAGACTTTCTGTGTTTAATGGAATGTATATGGTGAATATCTAACACAGACTGCCAAATTACTTTCCAAAAAGTCTTTAACACTTTGCTCTAACCAACTATACATTTAAGAATGTCTCTTTCCTTCTATCTTCACCAACTCTGGCAATAATAAGAATGACATTAATAACAGTTACCGTATACACTCGTGTATAAGCCGAGTTTTTCAGCACATTTTTAATGCAGTTTTGTGGTAAAATTAGGTGCCTCAGCTGATAGGTCGGCTTATACTCGAGTATACAGTATACGGTATATAGCTAGGATGCAAGTATCAAAGCTAGTCCTACTCCCCTGCTTTCAAATACTTATTTGCAGTCCCCTTATTGTGTATCCTTTTATATTTTTACCGGTGTTTTGTATTTTTCTTCTGTGATTTGCATGTTTGTACTTGTGACCGTTTTTCTATTGGTATTTTTCTTTTACCATCTCTATTCTAAATATGATATGTTGTTTGCCTTTTCATTTTGTCTCGTATGACAGTTCTTTTTTATTAATTGATATCAATACATATAGAGAATCATTCCATAGTTCAATCACATCCAGCAGAATTGTACATTTGCTACCACAATCAGTTCTTAAACATTCTTTTTCTATATGAACCCCTTGATGTCATCACCCCTTCATCCCTGCCACCCACTCTGTCCTCCTCCCCATCAAAACCCATAGGTTCATTAGTCCTGGTTTTCATACCCCCCAAAATTAAAAAAAACATATACTGCAACTTCAAGAAGGTGACACCACCACCCCCAATGCCATAACACTGCCAGGATTCCCACC